CACAGGGTGATCAGGGTTGGAAGGGACCTTGGAGATCATCTGGGCATGGAGGCACAGGGTGGTCAAGGTTGGAAGGGACCTTGGAGATCATCTAGTCCAACCCCTCACAGGGTGTTCAGGGTTGGAAGGGACCCCTGGAGATCATCTAGTCCGACCCCCTGCCAGAGCAGGGTCACCGACAGTGGATCCCACAGGAACACGTCCAGACAGGTTTGGAGCATCCCGGGTCTTGACTTGGGTCAGACTTTTCCGAAGGGGCCGCAAGCTCGGCGTGTTTCCATCCCCTGGTTCCTCCCACATGCTACAGCCCGTGCTGCCCCAGGGGGCCTCTGTGGGGTCTGTAGGAGCTGAAGCCCGGTGGGATTCAGCCCTTGGAGCTGACAAGACACCTGTCAGCTCAGCTGAAGCTCTGACTCGTGCCCTGCCTCCACGGTGTCTGCTCACACACCCCCAGCACATCATACAGACCTCTGAGAAAAAAACACTGGTTTGTCACCTGAAGAACCCAACCGATCCCCTGCGTTTTACAATCAGGGATAAGATTTCATTAACTGTGTTCCAGCTTTACAGATAATACCATCTTCTCCCTCAATAAAGTCCAAATACATTCTTATTTGCCAATACTACCAATAGTGTGCCATGGCTCCCAGAATGTATAAGAAGCTGTGGTGGAATTACAGTCCACTTTTTTTTAAAGAAAAGCAGGGGGGCCTTGGCAGCATTGATTTGCATCACTGCTTCTGGCTTCTCCTTAAAGATAACATCTAAACTGTGAAATTCATTAAACAGACCCAGAAGTGGATCAGGTTATTTAAAACAACATCACTAATGGCACAATATCTCAGCTGTCTCCACCGATAGGGAACATTGTCTTGGATAGTGTTATCAGCCCGGGACACCCGCTATGAATATTGATCTGTGGCTTGTTACAGCCATCACTTGCCATCAGGACAGGTCAGGGTTGAAACCCACCTAGCATCAAAGCAATTTAAAGACAGCACTCGGGCTGAATTTTAATGCCTGAGCTGGGAAATGCACCAACTTCAAACAGGCTGCTAAAAGTAACCCCTGAACGGGTGCTTTTCCATGTGTGCCTTCCTATGGGCGTGTCTGTTTGCAGGTGGGTGTGTGTGCACGTGTTAAACTGGTGGTACCTGGACATGTCTCTTAGCTCACAAATGAATCCCAGTGCTACAATTTACCTTCTCAGCTCCTGCAGACACAACAACTCCAACAGAAGTACGTATTGTCTCACATACATCAGGTTTGGTGTTTTTTTTTCTTTTAAAAATTAAAAAACCTCTGGCACTGCCAAGGTCTGCAAGCGTTCCTGATTTACTGCATGGCACTACTCAAGTTTTCTCCATGTAGTTTGAAACGAGCGTTGTGCCACAGGAAGAACCTTGTTCCAAAAAGCATGAATAGGATATGCATTAGGGTATCTTATCCATTTTCTTTAGTTCATCTCACTTTTGAAGCAAGCTGTCCAGCACCTGCAAGTGCTCCTCTTCCCCTCCTTCTCCTTCTTCTGCACCTCGAGGAACTTTAAATACACAACCAACACTTAAGTAGCACACAGCAGTGTTTTCCAGTTCACCACCACCTTCACTTTCAAGCAGGGTGCATGCCCAAAACTAAGCTTTTTTGGTGTGTAGCTTTAGCATGTGCACTGCTCAGGACAGAGCCTCCTTCTCTTCCGCTCATGTGTTGTACCCCACGTAAGAGGCCAGTGCCAAATGGGCTCTTGGATGTTGCTACCACGTAATTAACCACTACAATTACTTGTGATCATATCGTCCTGCACAGCTTCATCTCTTCTCCTTGCTCTGCTGTCATCTTAAGGCATCTATGTCTTAGTGATGGCAAAGAGAAAGCTCTTCTCCTTGCTCTGCTGTCATCTTAAGGCCTGTGCCTTGGTGATGGCAAAGAGAAAGCCCAATCCCAATTCTGCTGAGGCTGAGACACACGTAAAGAGGAGGGGGGCTGTGTGCTGCACCTCTTCCTGGGAATAAAAGCAGGTGGAGTAGGAGATTCCCACTGCGGGCTGCCTCCTCGGGCTGAAGGGTGCCCCTTGGTCTGCACCTCAGCCTGATCCACAGATCCAGCAAAACACAGAAATACAATGGGGGGAGGAAAGCATCCTCCTGAACAGATACAGACCTACAGAAACACGTGGCTGGCAAGTTTGTAATGAACGAGAAGTGTTTTAGTCAGAAGTGGTCAGGGACATGGGTCTGGTGCAGGGTGGAGAGGCTCGACCAGCTCTTGTCTACCCTGTCCCAGATGTTGTTATGAAGAAACCACAACGCCTTTCCACTCCAGGCAAGGGGGGTTAGTCAGGGGGCAGCCCCTCGCCCACCACAGCCGTGCCTCAGTTTCCCTGCCTGTTACCTGTGAGCGCCATGGACGAGCTCCAGGAGTCGGGGGAGCCCTTGGTGCAGAACCTGAAACCGCAATGACCCTGTGCCGAACCCAAACGAGAAGCTGTGCAGACCCCACAGCAGCCTAACATCCCAAACAGTGCCTGCTGGCAGCAGGAGCGCTGCGAGCCCGGAGCGGGGGAGATGCCAGAGCCGTCCTCGCTGAGGCTGAGACAGGAGGCTGGACCCAGGGGAGCTGCAGGTGGGACACCAACCCGGACCCCGAGAGGACAGCAGCTAACGTGTGGAGGCGCCTCTC